CACTGTCACCCCCAATCAACGACAGTGATACCCGTAATTAACTGTGTAGCTCTTAAAAAGCCATGACCCTGGTGGTCCAGTCTCAACACAGTGCCTTGATTAGAGGAACACCATCCAGCAACCAAAGATCATTTCAAAGTAGTTGACTTTCTTTATCCAGTTCCCACATATGTGATAACTGCTCTCAGGCCTTTTTCTCCCCAAAGCCCCCCAAATACTCCTGGTCCCTGCCTTAGCCCTCGCACCTCTTTTCTTCCCTCCCACCACTTCCCCATCTTTTCTCACAATACCGCATCTTGAAAAAGACCAAAAGAACAGGAAAGAAGGAAGAGGAAGAAACTGACTATGAGAAGGCAGAGTGGGGCCCAGGGAGGTTGGATGCAGAGAAGCAGGACCACACAGTTCTAAAGAGCACAGTCAGGCTGCCCGCATCTGCATCTTAGCTCTGCCACGCAGCAGCTGTGTGACCTCCAGCAAATTGTTTCACTTCTTGTTCTCCCCATCTGCCAAGTGGTGACAATGATAGAACCTGCCTCACAGGACTGTTGAGAGGGGAAAACAAGTTTATATACACAACACCTCTAGAAGAGTGCCTGTTGTATACTACACACTATATAATCAGTATATAGCGTAGAGTATCCTATATTCCCAACACATCGAGAAGTGTCTCGCATAGACTAGAGCTCAAAAAGTGTTTATTGAATGAAACTCATTGGTTTGTTATTTTGTCTTTGATGGTTACATTAACGGAAAATGTCTGCATCTCCAATTGTACAACTCCACCTTTGGGCCATCATAAACCATGCCCCTAACAGAAAAAACTTGCAAGAGTTGTAAATGGCTTTTATCACATCTTGTTTGTACCCACATCCCATCACGTTGTTTTAAGCCTTCGAAAATGCTAAGGAAATGAAAGGGAACCCTGTTTCCTCATTGCACGAAGAGCTGCCCATAAAGACCACGTAACAATGCCACCTTACAAAGTGGCTCCCCACAGCCCGGTAGGTTGATGGGAGAGCCAGTCCTGCCACACCACCATAAATACATTCACTCAAATGTCTTGGTTGAAACCGGCAAGACTGAAATGCTATGAGAGACTCATTAAAGAGGAATTTAGAGGAATCTTCAGCCAGACTGAAAGGCTTCTGACCACAGGGAGAAGCATCTGTGTTGCTGGAGCAGGGATTGGGAGAGCTGTGAATAAGAGGGTGGGAAGCAGAGGAGAGAACGGGGAGAGATGGATGGAAGCACCACGGCCTGGGAAGGAAGCCCCCGTCAACCCCAAGCTGGTAGGTTGTGAAGGTGAGCGATGAGCCAACCAAGAGTCCCCAGGGGCCTACTCACCAGGAACCTGTGTGTTGAAGGAGCAGCTCTTCAGAACCTCAGGAAATAGCAGGGGCATTTCAGGCTTGAAAAAGAAATCAGTCCCAGAAGTGGATCCATTTCACAGAATTATGCCACAGTCACTTCAATTTAATCTAGATATGCCCAGTGCTTGTCCCTTACCCTGAGGTCACAGTGGGGCCTGAGTATTTGGGACTGACCATATCTCCCTGACCACGACTCTCCATCGGCAACTGACTCTCACTGGCATCCACTCCTAACACAGTGCTGAGACAAAATTAGACCCACCCTGTATCCATTGACTCTTCGGGCATTGTTATTTTGCTGCAAAATAATTCAAAACCAATAGTATTGATAGAGAGAAAGTTCCGAGGCCGGCAGTCTCTGAAGGTGTGCTAACGGGCCATGCACAGCTACACCAAAGTTCTGTGCCAGCCTTGCCTCATTGGATGCAAACCCACACGACATAAAAAATTCTAGACAATATTTATGCTTCTCTCACAAAAACACAAATGTATAAAGATACACGCACCCCTATTTCATTGCAGCATTATTCACAATAACCAAGACTTGGAAGTAACCTAGGTCCCCATCAAGGGACAAATGGATGAAGAAGATGTGGTATATATACACAATGGAATACTAATCAGCCATAAGAAAGGATGAAAACTTGCCATTTTTGAAGACATGGATGGACATTGAGGGTATTATGCTAAGTCAAATAAGTCAGAGGGAAAGTCAAACACCATATGATCTCACTCATAAATAGAAGATAATAACAACAACAAACAAACACATAGAGACAGAGACTGGATTGGTGGTTACCAGAGGGGAAGGGGGGAAAATGGGGGGTGAAAGGGATGATTAGGCAGATATGTGTGGTGATGGATTGTAATTGGTCTTTGGGTGGTGAACATGATGTAGTCTACACAGAAATCAAAATATAGTGATGTACACCTTAAATTTATATAATGTTATAAACCAATGTTACCACAATAATAAATAAATAAATAGAAATAATCTAGTAAAAAATATATATATATTTATGCATCTCTAGGAGGATCTGTGTTATTAGTCCTCATCTAAACACATTTATAAACATAACGACATGTCATGTACAATATAGCACTGAAAATGTGTAAATTCTGGTACCCTCCAATGATTATTAAAAATTGAAGTAGAACAATAAAGTGACCTTCATGTGACTCAGAGAAAGCCAGGATCTGTCTGCCATTGATTGCTTAAATCTATTTTGTAACTTTCAAGGGCAGTCGCTGAAGGAGAAAATCAAATGTAGGATTTCCAAGAGGTTAAGGGGGACATATTGGTGCTGAGTTCCTTTCTCCTCGAATGATGGTTCAGCTGGTGGGGGACCAAGGCAGGCTGGACAGTGGGGAGTCATATAAGCTAATCAAAAAAGGAAAGATAAAGAAATAGAGATTAGAAGATTTCACACTGAAATAAAGAAATTCGTGTTGCCTTAAATATAATTGGTGTTACTTACATTTCAATTTCTAATTTATACGTAGCAGGGTTGATAAAGAATTACATTATAACAAAATTAGCCAGAATAATTAGCATAGTATATGTGCTACTGATTAAACACCCAGCAGATAGCTCAGTAATTAAGATCAGGGAGTGCCATATTTTGAAGATTTGTCATCTTATTATCTGCCTAACAAGTACTTCATCTTTACCTCCCTTCTGATTTGAAGTTTGATAGCAATCTCTAATAATTCTCCTTTTAGTTCTGTAAATTACCTTACTCCAATCCCAACAATTTTCCTGTGGTCACTACCCTCCCTCTCCTTGCATTTACACAATTGTGCTGGTGCCAAATTTCTTTCGAAATGTAAGGCAGTTGGTGTTGTCAAGCATCTGTGCTTGGAAATTCAGGTTCAAAAATCTCTTTCAAAACCCCTCATTCTTTAGCCAAAGAAAGAACCAGAGGCCAACCACACTGTCTGCAAGTTGGTCAAACACCTGAACTGAAGACTGACCCCTTGAGTTCCTATCTCCTTTCCCGGAAGAGCCCTTTGCCGGGGATTGCAGGAATGTCTCCATCAGGGCCCGTTTCTGTCCCTGTGACACTGGAAGGCAGCCTCTCCAGGGGCCCTGGCTGCTTGCTCATCAATGACCCTGGCCTGTGATGTCCTTGCTCCTCCATCGGGGAGTCAGGGGCTCCCTGCTGTTCTTGCAACACACAGTGAGATTTTATGGTGGAAAGCAGGTAGTTCATATTATCAAAGGAGACTAGGACTGATATTATTGACATAAACCAACATGATTTATCACCAGGGGCCAGGCACATTGTCACAGCAAAGAAAACCCAGGCTCTGTTAGCTAGGAGGAAGGAGAATGAATATTGGGTGGGACTCCAGGGCTGGCTCCTCAAATGCAGATGCAGACATGTTGGGGGAAGTGTCAGTGTATGGAACAGAACCTGCAAAATCATACACCGGAGCTGAGAGGAGGAGGGGAGTGTTAGTCAGGGTTCCCCAGAGAAACAGAACCAACAGGATGTATATATCATATTACATATATGAGAGAGAGACATTTATTTTAAGTAATCAGCTCACACAATTGTGGATACTGGCAACTTCAAAATCTGCAGGGCAGGCCAGCAGGCTGGAGACCCAGGGAGAGTTGCAGTTCTAGTCCAAAGGCCGTCTGCTGGCAGAACTCCCTCTTGCTCAGGGAATGTCAATCTCTGTCCTATAAAGGCCTTCAATTCATTGGGTGAGGCCCACCCACATTATGGAGGGTCATCTGCTTTACTCAAAGTCCACCAACTTAAACATTAATCTCATCCAAAAAACATCTTTACGGGAACATCCAGAATAATGTTTAACCAAACATCTGGGCACTGTGGCCCAGCCGGGTTGACACACAAAATTAACCATCACAAGGTGAGACAAGAGAAAGTGAGAAGGGAAGAGGTGACAAGATGGGGACACACGATGGAGGAGGCTCTATAAAAGCTATCTCTATAAAAGCTATATGGCACGGCCTGGGCCCCTCAGATCATCATGGCACACAGGCAAACAGCTGGAATTGGGTGCTTTAAGTCAAGGGTACCAGCCTCAAGGGGTGTGGAGGCTGCCGCTAATCCTAAGTTCCTGGTTCTTGTTCCCTTATGGGAGGGTTTTGTCTTGCTGAGACCAGCCAGTCCGTCGCTGAAGTTGGAAACCAAAGATTCCTCTTCATTCTCTTTAGTTCAAGGCATGTCCAATTTCTAGTCAACCAGACTCTCCTTTTAGATGGAGTGAAGGAGTACGTGGTGTAGAACATTACAAACTGTGCCTTCCAACAGAAAGAGCTTCCAAGTCCAGTCTTCGGAAAAGGGTTTTAAAGTTTCAGGATAGAGTCTGGCTTTTGATAAAAGAAGACATTATTCAATGGTACCTACGAGAATTTTCTTTTAAAACAGTGTCCACTCTTCTTCATCCACTCACAAACATGTCTACTGCCCCCATCTCTAGAATAATCCTTAGCTGAGGCCTTTGGAGAGATTAATTCCCATCTCCCTGTGAAGAAATGGGCCACCAGCCAATGGCCTTCCCCACTGGCTGTCACATGAGCCAGTTTCTTCTATTTATAGCAACGCCCACACCACTCTCCCCACAGCTGCTAACTTTGGACTCACTTAAGAAGAGAAGAAGTTGGGTGAATATACAAACGACATAACAATGTCCAACTCCGATTGCCTTCCCGACTACCCGCTCAACTCAGATTTAGTGAGGAGATTAAAGTCCGCCCTGGCCGCCAGCGATGAGGAGAGAGTGAGGGACTTGCTCTGCACTGAAGTTGGGCAGGTGGACGCCGTGATCGAACTGGCCAATGACGACTGGATGAAAGACCCGTCGGCTCAGCTGCCCCCCGGGGTGCTCCTAGGTAACCAGAATGAATCTGTTGCATTTGAAACTAAATTACCCATCACGTGCACGTGTAAAGGGTGGGCCATTCCTGGAGGGGAAAGGCAAATGGTTGAAAAACGCAGATGGTATGTACTCTCATATCTGATTCTTCTATATATACATACACACATGTGCTGCATATACTGTATACATCCATGTGTGTTACAAAGGCAATAATTACAGCATAGTACAAAAAATTTAAAAAGAGAAACACTAATCCACGTCCCCACCATGCTAACACACTGCCTGTGTTCTTTTCTCCACGTTTTTCCAAGCTAGTCTATTTGCATGTGTAAATTTCCCCTACTTATAACCATGTCGTAGATCTAATTTCTTGTTCCACTCTGTTGAGTTAATATATCTAAAGTATTTTCCATGTTGCTACAGAGTCTCCTTAATTTCAATCACCTTTTGAGGTGATTAATCACAAAATACTTAAACCAAATGCCTACAAGAGGGGAATATTTGTTTGCATTTTTACTTCTATCAATAGTGCTGCAATTAGCGTCTTTATTAGCATTCATACAGCTTTTTCCTTATTAGGAGTTATATCTTTAGGATAAATTCCTAAGAGCAGTATTACTACAATAAGGATAGAAAATCTTCCAAATTATTTTCCGCAAGGATTTCTGTTCCCTAGGACAGGGAGTGCACGTGCCTCACGACACGCCGTGCATTGCTGGTGATGAGTATTTGTACTTAAATCACCCATTTGATAAGTGTGCCCTGGTCCTTCTCCACCCCCTGCTCATCCGCCCTTTCTTTGCTGCTCAGTCTTGTCCATAGGGTTTTGTTTTTCTTTGTGGGCCTCTTCACATGTGACTTGTCCATTCGCGTCCTTGGGCATTATCTCCCCCTTTCTTTGTATCTTTTTTGTCATTTTGTAGGGCTTCTTCACATAACACATATATAATCCCTTTTGCTAAAAATATGTTCCCTGACCTGAGATTTACAATTTTTTCCTTTTTTTTTTTTAAAGGAAAGGTGGGCTTTGAATTGTTTCTAGAGCTGCATTTATGTTCTTGTAAGACTCAATTTGTATGACAAGCACAGTTGTTTTTTGGGGTTTTTTTTGAGGAAGATTATCCCTGAGCTAATATCTGTTGCCAGTCTTCCTGTTTTTCTTTTTTCTCCCCAAAGCCCCAGGACATAGTTGTATATCCCAGTTGTAGGTCCTTCTAGTTCCTCTATATGGGACGCCACCTCAGCATGGATTCATGAGCAGTGAGTGGGTCCGCGCCGGGGATCTGAACTGGTGAACCCCCGGAAGCCGAAGCGGAACACGTGAACCTAACCAATACGTCACCGGGCCGGGTCCTGCGATTTACTTGTAATTGCACTGTGCTGTTTTCTAGCTGCCCTCCACAATGTTAGTCTCAGCCCCTAAGGGATGTTCAGGGCTTCTCCCCACCCACCAGACAGACTCCCTCCCCACACACACACTTGTGCATGCATACACATGTACACACTTGCACACACATACTCACACATGCGTACGTGCACACACGCACACACACATGCACGAATGCATGCTCTCACATGCAGAAAGTGTGCCAAAGAGGAGCATGCGTGGGGCAGTGGTGCTAGCGAGTGGAGCTTCCACATGCTGGAGAGAGAGATCAGAGATGGCAACTTCCAAGAGGGTGAACATCCCTCTGCTCCCTCGTGGTTTGGGTGCACTCCCTGGGCTGCCTTCCACTGGGGAGTTAAGCCAACTGCATTAGACTTTAGGGAGAAACCCTCTCTTGCTTCTTCTCTTCCTTTGTTTTCCTAATTTTTGGGGCCACAATCAGGGTGAGGGCCCAGGACCCATGAGCCCAAAGAACAACACGCCTTTGTTCTGAGCTCAGCTCTGCCTAGACAGGCACGAGGCCTCACTGAGACAGCGCCTGGTACACTCACCTCTCCAGGAGGTTGCACTGGGCTGTGGGGAGGGAACTTTGTGCTCATAAACTGTGATTTGGCCAGGAGTGCTCAGATATACGTTTTGCATTTGCCCTCCAGACCCATCGGGTACCCTGCCCTGCGCCACCCATGAGGCTGACCTTACAAACTGCATCAACCTGCCCCGTGCCCTCTGACTCCTGTTGGGTGCACCTAATGGAAGGTGCTAGAAGGAGCGGGGAGGGTGGGGTCTTTGCTCCAGGGACCCATCCCTGCCAGATCTCTGCTGCAATTTGGTTTTGTCCTTGTGCTGAAGGCTCAGCTCCGACCTCCCTGCTTGCCCCTCAGACACAGGGATGCGGGCTCCCACTGTGGCTGAGGCCACTCCTCGTTGGCTTCTCTGAACCCTGCCTGCCTTGTTACGCCCTATGGTCGTGCCATCTGCTTTCTGCTGGGATTCTGACTGGAGCAAGTGCCCTCTCTCCACGTCCCCCTTTACAAACCCATCCCAGCGAGTGGGGATTTCTGTATTTGAAATCCCCAATCTAAAATATCATTTCTTTCCACATTACTAATTGCCCTGCACAAACTTTACAGTCCCCACCACTTTCTTGAATGCTTGAAACCAACGAAATTCATGTTATGAGAATCACATTCCCCCCCATGATGAACCCACATTCTAAATCATATCCACCTGCCACTCTCCCTACTGAGTGGCATGATTCAGAAAGGCCAGAACAATTCTGCTGATGGTGTATTTTAAGAACTTGGAGGCCGGCCCCGTGGCCTAGCGGTTAAGTGCACACGCTCTGCTACTGGCAGCCCCAGTTCAGATCCCGGGCGCGCACCGAAGCACCGCTTCTCCGGCCATGCTGAGGCCGCGTCCCACATACAGCAACTAGAAGGATGTGCAACTATGACATACAACTATCTACTGGGGCTTTGGGGAAACAAAGGAGGAGGATTGGCAACAGATGTTAGCGCAGAGCCGGTCTTCCCCGGCGAGGAGGGGAGGATTGGCATGGATGTTAGCTCAGGGCTGATCTTCCTCACAAAAAAAAAAAAAGAGAGAGAGAACTTGGGTTTGTTCTGGGTTGTCTTCATTGTAGGATGAGAGTACACTGAAGGAATAAGCAGGTAACCCTGGGGCACACCTTGCTATCAATGATTTTACTGCAGGAAAGCAGGCTGGCCTTGAACTGAGGGTAAAGAGTGTGGCATGGTCAGACTCGAATTTTGGTCTGCCGCTCTGGCTAACATGTGAAGGTAGGATTTGAAGGAAACAGGAAAGTGTAGGAGAGTCTAGTGAGGAGGTGATTGAAGGCCGTCACCTCGCTGAGAGATGACAAGGGTCTAAAGAGAGAGAGCGAGGTAGACAAAGATAAATGACGAAGATGAGAAATGCGTAGGCGGCTCCACAGGCAGGTCTTGGTGATGAGTGGAGCACAGCGCCACCAAAGGAGACAGAAAACAGAGGGATCTGTGACTGTGATACATATGGAGCCTCTGCTGCATGCCTGGCAGTATGGAGAGTGGAGCATATAAACAGCAATAACACACATGACTGCCTCCCAGGAGCTCACAGCCCAGCTAATGTCACCGCAGGTAGGTTATCAGGTGTCTGGAGAAGCTCTGGCCTTGGTGTGAGATGCTCCAGAAGGAATCTTGGGTTCTGCCACCCACAAGCTGTGTGACCTCAGGGAAGTCACTTTCCCTCTCTGGGCCAGTGCCTTTAATTATTAGCTAGCGCATGAGATTCAATTAGTGCTTCCCAAACAGAGGTCCATGGTAGGATGAGCTTGGAAAGTTCCCTGGTGAATCACACTCTCAGAGATTGGCACAATGGCATATTAAAGGCTCGATGTGGTTTCACCACCAGGAGAATTGGTGGTTTGCAGATGTTCTTTGGGAAATGCTGGCTTGGCTCATTGTTGAGGTCCCTCCATCTCTTTGCTTCTCTGAGGCCATGATCCCTCTCTGTTGCAGCCTGAAATGGAGTGTGGGTTCCTTTTTTCTGAGTGTGGGAGCTAATGGGCTCTTTCTCAAGGTTAGTGTGAGTCCTTGGGGAACATCTCTGATAGGAACAAGAGCCATTGGGATTCAAATATACACGTGGAGTCTTTAGAATGTTTGAAGAGTGGTCAGAACTTATGGCAATACCTTGAAATGCAGCCCATATAGGGAATGGACACTGTAAAGAATTTAAATCCTTGAATGTGGAGAAAAGGGCACCCTCATACACTGCTGGTGGGAATGCAAACTGGTGCAGCCACCATGGAAATCAGTGTGGAGATTTTTCAAAAAATTAAAAATAGAAATACTATATGACCCAGCTAACCCACTACTGGGTATTTATCCAAAGAACCTGAAATCAACAATTCAAAGAGATCTATGCACCCCTGTGTTCATTGCAGCATTATTCACAATAGCCAAGATGTGGAAGCAACCCAAGTGCCCATCAATGGATGGATGCATAAAGAAGATGTGGTGTGTATATATATATACAATGGAAAACTACTCAGCCATAAAAAAGACAAAATCATCCCATTTGCAACAACATGGATGGACCTTGAGGTTATGATGTTAAGCGAAATAAGCCAAAGAAAGACAAACACGGTATGATTTGACTCATATGTGGAAGATAAACAAACACATGGACAAAGAGAACAGATTAGTGGTTACCAGAGGTGTAGGGGGTTGGGGGGAGGGCGAAAGGGGTAAAGGGGCACACACACATGGTGATGGATAAAAATTAGACTATTGGTGGTGAGCGTGATGCAGTCTATACGAAACTGAAATATAATAATGTCCAGCTGAAATTACACGTTATAAACCATTATGACCTCAATAAAATAATAATAAAAAAAGAATTTAAATCCTTGGGAGGAGGATGTGAAGATGGAGGAGTGGTGATGCAGGAGAAAAGGGGACTGGACCAGGAAGGGGACCAGAGCTGGGAATGTCCCCCAGGCCAGGAGGGGCAAGAGCCAAGTGTCATGCTGTCATACATTTGGGGGAAAAGTAGGAAAAGTTTTCCATCCCAAAGGCAGCTCTAGTTGACAGAATTCCAGATATTGGTCAAAAGGTGATAATTTGAGGGGCCGGCCCACTGGCGCAGGCGGTTGAGTGCGCACGCTCAGCTGCGGTGGCCCGGGGATCCCCGGTTCAGATCCCAGGCGCGCACCAATATGCCACTTGTCAGGCCATGCTGTGACGGTGTCCCATATAAAGTAGAGGAAGATGGGTATGGATGTTAGCCCAGGGCCAGTCTTCCTCAGCAAAAAAAGAGGAGGATTGGCAGATGTTAACTCAGGGCCGATCTTCCTCACAAAAAATTTTTGAAAAGATGATAATATGTGAAAATAAGAAAAAGAAAGGTAACAATTCTCTCTGCTTGTCAACATGAATACACAAGGACCTTGCATCTATCCGTGGAATCCCCATGCTATTTGGTCTATGAACTGATTACTCTCACCAAATAGAGCAGAAAAAATAATCATAACTTATTTGGACACATCCATGTCAGCATCGCCATAAAAGCATAGAGAAAAAGAGGGACCAGCCAAGACAGTGGTGTGAACAGCTTTTTCTGGAGAAGCCCTGTCAGGTGTACATGTGCCCCTTTGATGAAGGCAGAGGTCCGAGGAACTTAAAATTTTAGCCCCAGCAGATAATGGGACAAAGTGCAGAATGTACCCTCTCTGCATGGCCAGCGGCAGGCAGGAGGCAGGAGAATGGCCATCGATTAGGATTCCCCTAAAGAAACAACTCACCTGTGCCTTTAGGAAGCCACCTGCTCTCCTGCAAGGATGGACTTGGGATGCCCTGCAGGATGCTGGGAAGGATGAGCAAGCCACTAAGAGGCACTCAGCCCTCCCAGTCAGACACACCATGATCCCTCCCCAGCTCTGGACTGCCCCACTGTGAGGAACACGGAGGGCCGCGCTGGGGCTGGGGCATGATCCGTGTGTGTGTGTGTGTGATGAGTGGAACAAGACTGAGCCCCCATCACAACAGGAACCTCTCCACCAGGGCTACACCCAAATCCCGGGGCGTGTGAGTTGCTCCTCTGCTCCCCTAGGCCACCCCATCTTTCCAGATCCACACAAGCGGCATCATCTCCCCTGCCCACTCTGCCCTGCAGCCTCACCTCCTCCCTCCACGAGAGCATAATGCTCCCAGTCTCCATTAGTTACTGAAACACATGACCTGGCTGGGCTAATTTTATATACCCACTGAATATTTCAAACTCAAATACGACCTCCTCAAGGCCCAGGACCTTGCCTAACACTTGGTATCTAGAGCCTGGCACAGGGTCCTAGCCCCAAGAAGGACCTCAATCTGTGGGTGCCATGCCTGGCATGGGGGGCGAAGTTCCTTTGCTAGCACCCAGCTGAGCGGACACAGACCACCTCTCCGCAGACACTATTGGGGTTTGTCTTTCTGCAAAGAAATACTTCATTCCACTTTCTGCTAAAGCCAAGTGTCTACTGTTTAATAGTAGCGACAATTGCATTATTTGCCCTTGCCTCTTTTCAATGCCTGTGAGCTCACTAACCACCGAGAACACAGGGAGGGAGAAAGGACGGCTGGGGGAGGGGTGGCAAGACCCTTCTTGCCCCCAAATGCATCAACTGTACAATTTGGTAACCGGCGTAATCAAACTACTTAAGAAACAACTGATTACTAATTGCTATTATTCAGGATGTCAGCATTCCATGATTTTGCTGCTGATGTATTATATACAAGTCAAGATGCTACTTGAATTCTTGATTGAAATGGAGGACTAGAGGCAGTCTGTTGTGTTTGGGGTAATGGTATTTAAGCATCTGGAGGCAAGTTAAAGCAATGCTAATTGGGTTTTTATTAAGAGATCTCACCCAGCAGCATGTATAGGTGGGGAAGGAGCGTGGGTGAACATGTGATGGACATGTGCACGCACATCAAGATGGGGTCCATTTGCGAAAATCGACTTCTCATCCAACCAGCGCCCCTGCAGGCTTGACGCTGAGCACGCCATGACGTTAGG